TATATTTATTTGTTAGATTGTAGATAAAATAAGCTGAATTATCCAAGGGGCTTGGTTTGGTGCTTATTCAACAGACATGTCAGCAGTTCTTTGTAACTCTGTAATTGATTTTATTATCGAATTGTTTTCCTGGACAAAATTGTAAAAAGTTTGTCCTATTATATTCACTGTTTCCTGTTCGTTGTCAATTTTTTAAATTTTATTTATTAATGAATTTAACATATTAATATATTTAGAGTCAGCGCTAACTCGATGGGGATTATCTGTGATTAGAGGGGAGATTATTGTTGGTGTTTTATGTGGAGGTTTCACAGGGTTCGTGTTTTGAAAATCTATTAGGTTGTCGTTCAGCCTCTGACGTTTCAAATTGTCTGGATTGCATTTTAACAATTGTTTTTTTCCTGGGTTTCTTGTAATGGCAGTATTATAATGGTAAGAATTATTTTCGGCAGAATCATTATTTAACGATAATTGAGGAAAATCTAGTGCGGAAAGTTTATTGTAGATTAAACAGATTACTTATTTCCTCTGCATTTTTCTTTGGTGTGACCATATCTTAAACATTGTTCACAAAGGAGGGGCTTAAAAATATATGGGTAAACTTTTCTTGGGGCTAAGTTAAGGGCAATGTTGTCAGGGAGTCACTGAGCGTGAAAAACAATGTGAATGGTACCCGTAGCTATAGTAGTTACAGTACCGTTGGAATTTTTAATTTTTCTATTGAAACGGCGAATTTTGACTATTTTTTCTGTTGATTGAATTTCACTGGGAATTTCTTCTTCAGAGGGAGATGGGTGTACGTCTCTAATTATTCTGTATTTTAAAACGTATGAGTTTGGTATAAATGCTTTTAGTTTATTGGATTCAAGAAATTGATTTTCTAAAAATCGGTTGGCATATTCATAAGTTTTAAAAATAACTTCAATTTGTTGTTTATTTTTCTTTTTAATAGAAAAAACGTGAGAGTTATTTAAGCCTAGAGTTTTCCAATTTTCATATCATGAAAGCATGCTATGTTTTCATCAGTCAATTTTTCAACTAAAACAATGAACGAGCCTTTAAAGTTCTGCAAGTATTTATGTTGATTTTTTTCCATTATGTACTACCGGTGAGTATAATGGTTTATCAGGAGGCTCAGTTCCCACGCTATTTTCCCCCATGATCACAAATAAGGTGTGATATCAGTTGATAATTTTAAGTAATAAGAAAATAATATAAACTAAAGAGAAAATAAAATAGATAAATCTGGCCTGAATGTAGCTAGCCGTAGGCTTCTGAGAAGTCGGGCCTGTCAACAACGGACTATTGTCCTCACACTAAAAGGATACCGCCACTTCAAACTGATAAACCGCGATGTTAACACTACCACTGTTCGAGGAAGACAGTTAATAGTTTTTGGGTGTATAGATTTCTTAATTTACTGTTATTTTTGAAAACTATTTGTAGATGGGGAAATTTGTAAGTTATTGCTTTTTTGAGATATGACAGGGATGTATGGAATGGATCTGTATTGGCGAATCGTGGTGGGAGACTGAGAGCAGTTTGTGGGAGACTGGTGAAGATAGGGTTTGAATTCATTTTTGATCAGGTTTTTTATAATTTGATCAGGAAAGGCATTGGATTTCAGGATCTTGTGTAGTTTGGTTAGGTTGTCATGGAATTGCGGGTCAGTTAATATTAGACTGCGGTGTATCATTTTTTTAACTACACTGATTTTTTTGTGGTAAGGTTGTTGGGAAAATAGTTTAGGAGACTGCCTGAGTAGGTAGGTTTGGTGTACCAATTGATGGATAAGGTATTATCATCATTTCTGAGGAGATCAAGAAATGGGAGGGAATTATTTGATTCTATTTCAATGGTAAAACGGAGTCGAGGGTGGTATGAGTTGAATGCAGAAAGTATGTTTGTAATAGCGTGGGGGTTGAGGATTAATAAAAGGTCGTCAACATATTTTTTAATGAAAAAAATATCATTAGGAAATTTAGGTAGTATCGAATCAATTAGGTTGTTAAGAACAATACTAGAGAGGTCTGGTGCAAGGCAATTACCCATCGCCAAGCCCGAAGTATGATGAAAAAAATTGTTTTGAACACGTAGCCGGAGTTACAACATAGAGAGAGGGACTGAAGGAATGAGGATTGATTGAGGGAAGTGTGTAGTTCTATGGTGGACCAATTTTCTTCAATTATTTGAAGAGTACGATCTGTGGGAATATTGGTGAAGAGACTTTCTGCATCAAAGGAGGCCAAAATGAAATGTGGTGGTATGTTCAAGGATAGTTGATCTAATAGGTGGAAGGAATTTTTAATGTCATGGAGAAGAAATTTACTGAGTTTAGAAGATGGAGAGTTAATGTTGGAAATAATAGGTCGGAGAGGATTGCCTGGTTTATGGATTTTCGGTAAGCTGTAGCACCAGGGAGCAGTGGAATTATAAGAGATTAGATTTCTATAGGTAGGAATTTTAACTTGTTTAGTATCGAGAAGGTGTTTTAGGTGTTGGTTGAATTTGGTTGTGAGAGATGGTGTGGGGTCACGTTTTGTGGGAAGATAAGTGGTTTGGTCGGAAAGGAGTGCAAATAATTTGTCATTGTACTCGGCGGGGTCCATAACGACAGTTTTGTTACCTTTGTCTGCACTAGTGACAATGATTTCATTGTGGTTGTTTAAAAAGGAATGAGTAAAGGAAAGGTCTTTTAGAAATTGTGATGAAAAAGGGGATGGTATTGAAGATGGATGCTGTAGATGGTTGGTGATAATATTGCATATGTGGGAAATAGTCCATTCGTCATCGTTAACAATCAGGTTGGAGTCTTGATGGATATATTCTAAATCAGTAAGGAGAGCTGGGACAAGGTTGGTGGATTGGGAGGGAGAAGTGTTGAAATTTGGGCCGAGACTTAGGATATAATTTATGTGAGGCAGGAGTTCGACGGAAGAAATGTTATGAACCCAATCCATACTTCTAGTATGATTAATATTGTTTTTCTTAAAATATTGTATAATATATTGTCCTACGTATCATTTCAATCCATTAATATTGTCTTTATTATAAAAATTATTTGTCTAACCATATTATACTTTTAATCAAACTAAGTTATATTTATAATTGGTAATGGTTGACTGTCGTGAATTATGGAGAGAAGAATAGTTGGGGTGATCAGTCGAATAAGAAGGCAAAAATATATGATACTATTTATTTTGACATTAGCCAACGTTTTGACCTAAAGTTCAGGCCATCATCAGGGCTAAGAAAAGAAGGTATGATAACAATATGATAACACAGGTATGATAACTCAGATAACAAGGGTTTCAGAAATGAGTCGTTTATCATGGTTGAGAACTGTGGCAAGGATTGATGTTTTGTCGAAATCAAATGTATGATTGAGGGAGAGAGAATGTTCGGATAATTTGGAGGCGGTAAAATCCCTTCTCTACACTCCCACCCTAACACCCTCATTGCTTAGATTTACATCTACGTAATCTGGTGGGTCTTCTCTTTATTTTTATTTTTCTTTCTTATTCTCTTTCTTATTTTAGCCTTCTCAGTTTCCTTCCTCCTTCCTTTCATTCCTCTGCTCTGTTTTAACTTTGTATTATATTATACGTTGTCTATACATCTTGATAGACTTTACAACATCTCAATTTTCTGTCTAACTATTCTATTCACAATATATTAATTTTACTGTTTATTTCCATTTCTTATATAACTTCATATTTTTCTGTTTTTACATTTTATTCTAAGATTCCCATTTTAATACTTATGTCACCCTTTTTTTTTTTTCATTATGTTTACTTCATCATTCCACACTTTGTACTGCTTATTATCATTTATCTCTTTGTTCTTACTATTGTCATTATTCTAACAACTGAATTTTACTTTTTTTTTTTTTTTTTTTTACCTACACTACTTATGTTTCTCATACCTTGTTATCTGGTTCTTTTCTTAGCCTTGATGATGGCCTGAACTTCAGGTTGAAACGTCGGCTAATGTCAAAATAAATATTATCATTTATTTTTGCCTTCTTATTTGATTGATCACCCCAACTATTCTTCTCTCCATAAGTTATATTTATATTGATTAGCACCTCTTGCTTATGTTCATTTCATTACTAGCCAATAGTCACATTTCTGTAACCATAAGAAACAACGCAAATATTGTACACATCTAAAATATTTGTTTAGCAAATTATTTACATTCTACAAACAGAAATGTTACCTCCCATCCTCTCTGACTATGTTTACCTACCTTTTGCTATCTGAAAAAGAACAACTGGGAAATCCTCCCATCCTGACCTTTTCACATACCTAACAAAGGTGTCAGTACTTCAACACCTGCAGTGCTCAAACCACGGTTAGTACAAGAAAGTATTACAAATTTGTATAAATGGATTATATACTTTAATTTTTAGTTTGTATAACTATTTACATATTTCATTTTTAATATGTCTATTGCAATATTAGTTAAGATTCATGTACCATCAATCACCATAGTTTATTATTTACCATTATCGGTCGTATAATATTATATCTCTGTTTGTATTTAAAAAAATTTTCAGCCCTGAAGATGACCCACATGTTTGGGTTGGAACGTTGGCATAAATAAAAAAATTATTTAAAAAAGACTGCGTCCTGAATATTTAACACCCATGGTAAATAATTGAAGAGAAGGATGGTTGGGTTAATCAATCAAAATAAAAAATAGTAAAAATAAATATAATTATTTTTTTAAATTTTTATATTAGCTCTTGATCAAAATCAAGGTAGTTTTTTGTTTTTATCATTATTTTGACTGATTGCCCCAATCATCCTTCTCTTCTATTGGGAGAATTGTTACAGAAGATGAAATGAAACTACCATTTTTCGTTTTATTTCAAATTGAATAAATTTTTAATTGTTATAAATATAAGGTGTATTGCAAACTTAGTTTAATGTTATAGTCATATAGCATTATTTAAACAAACATTGTTAGCAGTATTAAACTTTCTTTTGTTTTTTCAGAGATTAGTGGTTATTTGTACAAAGTTGATATTAAATCTAAAAACATCACTCAAATTACAAACCTCATAAGACCAACAAAAATATCATATGACTGGGTTACTGGTAATGTTTATGTCCTTGAAAACTTCAAAATTATAAGAGTTTGCAATTTTGAAGCTAAACTTTGTTCAGCATTGTACACAGCTAAGAATGGTATCAACATTGAAACCATTGCTCTTGATCCAAAATCGAGGTAGTTTATTGTTTTTATCATTAAAGTTCTATTTAATTTAAACCTTATAGATTTTTATTGTTGTTAATTTTTTATTATTATATGTACAGTGTTACAGACATTAATAATGTTCTGGGTATTTTGCAGTTTCGTTGTATTTCATTATTATAATTATAAAAAAGAGATTTTAGGTATAAATATTGATTTTAATGAGAAAACTTATTTTTATTATTTGTAAGCAATACTAAATAAGGTACTTGTGATCGACATCGCCTCTGCGAAACCTCCCTTCTTATCTTATGTTATGTTACGTCACGTAACCTGCCTTTTTATATAGTGTGAGCTGTCTGTTGTATGTGTGTTTATCATTGTCCGTTATTAAAATGGATGTAATTACATTGTGGGAATTGCGTTCTTCAGAAGAAGAGGTTATAAAATATTTTCAAGATGCAGGGATAATTGTGAAGGTGAAATATTGTAATGAAGTTCGTCGGGAACACGTACTGGAGATGTTTTCGTAAGAGTTGTAAGAAAAACGTATCAATAAGGAAAGGGACGTGGTTAGAGGTGTCGAAGATTACCTTTTCAACTGCTTTAAAATTTATTTATGGATGGTCTAAAAATTTGACCACAATAAAGTGGGGCGAAGAGCAACTGAAACTATCGAACAAATGTATCATAATGTAGAACAAATTTTTAAGAGAGGTTTGTGCCCATAACATGTTATACAGGCCAACAAAGAAAATTGGAGGGCCTAGGAAAGTGGTTGAAGTAGACAAGGGTCTTTTTTCTAAACAAAAAAATCATCTAGGGAGAGTTCTCCCTGATAAATGGATGTTTGGTGGAGTTTGTCGAGAAGCAGACGAGTGTTTCATTGTAAAAATAAACAACAGAAAGGAAAGAACTTTATTAGAATGTATTAAAAATAATATAGAAGAGGGAAGCACCATTTATTCGGACTGTTGGAAAGGATACAACACCCAACAACTGAATGAAGCAAACTATAATCATTTGCAGGTGAATCACCGTTATAACTTCGTTGATCCATCGACTGGGGTCCATACTCAACATATAGAATGTTTATGGGGCTCAGCTAAGTGGAGAAATAAGAAACAGAGAGGAACTGTGAGGCAACATGTGAATTTGTGTGGCGGTGCGCTCACAGAGAAGAGGACCCGTTCCTCGCTATTTTAAATAGCATTAAGCTATTTTGTCTCCCAGAATAAATAAATGAAATGATTTATGTATGTTGTAAAATAAAAGTGCTGTTGATGTTATTTATATTTCTTATTATTAAATAAGAAATATAAATAACAACAACAATAATAAAACAATTTCTTATTTTATATTATTATTATATTGGTTATTACATGCCTGGGAAAGTAAACTGTGTTATTTATATTTCTTATTATTAAATTACTCTATTATTATTATATTTATATTTCTTATTAATATATACATGTATATATATATAAGTTAAGTTTCAGTGGGTTAAACTATTGTAAATTGTCAGTGGAATAAGTATTCAAGGAATCCAAGAAATAACTTTACTTTATTCAAACACAATAAAGATAATAATGAATGATAATATTAAATCTAACATGTGGTGTCATTATTGTCTATTAGATTAACTATGAAATGGTATTATGATTAATACCAGTGCATTTACGAGTCTTAACTCCCTCCGCCAGTTTACGAACAATTTTCGTAAACTTTGTATAATAGAGGATAGCCTACCTCTCTACAGCAGCTCTGACATTCTGATTGGGATTTTGAGCTGTTCAATGTGAGCTGTCCTTCTTTTCCTCGGTTCTTTTACGCTCTCAATAGTTATAATATTATGTTCCCTAATTGTTATCACCCTGAATGGACCCTCGTATCTCAGCAATTCTTTTCTTCTATTAGAGCCAATCCTTCGATAGACTATAGAGCCGATTTTTATTTCTCCTGTCACATCTTTCACTTTCAAATTCTCGCGTGTTACTCTCTTGTGCTTTTCATCCTCTATTTTCCTCCGGACTTTCGTCCATAATTTCTCTAACTCTATTTTATTGTTAATTATTTTTGTCGTCATTTCCAAGTCTGCCGCAGTATCCCCACAGTCCCTTTGACGCCCGCGTAATCCAAAGATAATCTCAAATGGCGAGAACCCCGTGTATTACATATACATTGCCTCATTGCCTCATTGGACATTGCCTCACAATGTGGGCCTCCGTCCCGCACTCGAAGCACCTGGTACGGGGACACTGTGCCACTAAGTGTCCGGTTTTCCCGCATCCATGACATTTTCTGTCCTCTCTTTTCATACTGTTCTTCAGTCTGACTTGCCCTGGTCTTTGTTCTAACCCCGTTCTTCCTCTACCGCTGAACACATGCTCCTTCTTCTTCCAACTTGTCTGTGGCATGATTCTGGGACGTTTATAGGTTACCCTACTCCAACCAGTTTCCTCTACTTCCATCCGGGTTTCCTCTTCTCTCACGCTGGACCATCTCCTGTGCACATTCCACGAATGAACGTTCTCTTGGTAGACTTTCTCTTCTTCCGGTTTCCCTTGCGAGTTGTACCTCCAGGATAGTAGATAAGAAGGCCATCTTTGCCTCTACTTCGACCACACTCACAGTTTCTCTCATCTTTTCAGTTATCTGGTTGTACCGGGCTAGAAGTGTTCCAGCATATTGTCCGTTAGTTTGTCGTTGTGATTTTACCTCACGAAATATCTGGAAGATATCTTCTTCCGTTGTAGTAGACATCCCCCGGTATTTACTCCTTTAGATGACAATGTGTGAGGGAATGAGAAGGAATATATAATGTATAGGAATGTGAGGTTCCACAATTGTGATGTGGACAAATTGCTCATTGGAAAATCTCATATCGATAAACAATCGAAAAGAAGAAAAAAGGTCCGATCAGGTAGCGACAGATGGCGAGGACGACGCCAAACACTTGAGGCCTGGGTACCAACACAAGATGTCATCTGGGAAGAGAGGCTTACTCCATTGAAGACTAAGAATATCAAGCCTACAGTTATTAGACTTTAATATATTCACTTATATCAGTTGTCAAAATAAATTGTTTTATTATACCGGAGTGAATAGTCCTTTTATTTAGTTGTCCTATAGGCCTCACAATTGAAGAATAAACCAGGTGAGTCAATTCATTCAAAGTGTTTACTAAGTCCCACATTTCATTTATGTATTCTTATTGTTTCTCCTCACACAGTGTCATAAAAGGTATTAGATTCCCGAATTCCTAATCACAGTTAAACACCCTCAAAAACTCGATATCCAGTGCCAGGGTTTTGTTTTAATATTCAGGAGTGTAAATAACCTTAAGCCCTGATATAAAAGCGGAAGGCTATTCGCTATTCCCGCCAAAACTAATCATTTTACAATCAACTTCCTGTAGGTTATTTACACCGTGGTCCATCTACCGCCTCCGTACGCTTTTTCAGTCTTTCCTTAATCAGCGCCCACGGTGTTTCTTCATCTGCTTGGATGTAATTGAGTATATCAATTTCTTTTTACTCTACATATTAGGGACGCTTTAAGTGCCTCTGCATCTCCAGCATTGATCAAGTTTTCTGCTATTGTAGCTTCTCTTCTAGCAATAATCCAATCACCACCTTTAAGAAAATGGTTCAACCCACCCATTTCTTCTGCTAAGCACTCGAGGTCTGATATCGCCTTCCTCAGGTCTTGGGAAGTCGCCACCCTAATCTTCATCCACTCCAGCGCGTTTGAATGTGCTGCCGCCAAAGTTTCTTGGGGTAATGGAAGGATGTCTGGTACGTTCAGGACTGGTGGTCTCAACACTCCGTCATGCATCTTCTACAATTTTTTCACATGGCCAAAAAAAAAACGGACCAGCGCCCACTCGTCGTCACTGGTTTCGGCACCAGTTAACTTTCAGCGGTTTAAGCTATTATAAATTGTCAGTGGAATAAGTATTCAAGGAATCCAAGAAATAACTTTACTTTATTCAAACACGACAAAGATAATAATGAATGATAATATTAAATCTAACATGTGGTGTCATTATTGTCTATTAGATTAACTATGAAATGGTATTATGATTAATACCAGTGCATTTACGAGTCTTAACTTATATAAATATATATATATATATATATTAATAAGAAACAGGCAAAAAAGAGGCAACACCAAATATATTTATATTTCTTATTATACGAGAGTCTAATTTCATATGAAGATAGGAATTAATAACAGTACCTTATAACAATTATCAATATTCAGGTTATAAACATTGGATGTAGATAGCAGTCCATAGAGGCGGAGTCGGTCACAAGTACCCTAAATAAATTTGGTTACTATTTACCCAACAGTATTATCATTAGAAGACAAAAATATCCACATTATTTACAAAAAAATCTTCAAGAGGATGTTTTCTTTCAATATTTTTGTTATTTTGACCAGTGGTAGAATTTATTATTGCAGATTTCTTTCTCGATTCCTGCTCTGAGCTCCAGAGGAATTGATGCTTGGGAAAAGATTTGTTCCTCCGTACTAGCCACTTGTTACTATTTTTTGCCTCTTCATTTCTTTAATGTCCTTTACTGCTTTGGATATGATAAGTGGAAATATTTCTAGCAAAATCTTCAAGTACCAATTGTTCTATTTTCTTATTGGTCACAATATGCTATGGTCAGATTCTACAGCAATGTGAATTCCTTCGCAATTCACACGACTGGAAGTAATGGTGGAGAGAAAATTTATGATAGTTACACATCTGATATTCTTCTCTCTCAAGCTTCTACTCCCTCATGTATCACAACTCCAAATTTCAAATTATCAAGTTTGAGTTTGCAAATTCCACACTACTATTCTCCTTAAATTATTTGTTTTATTCGACGAAGTAATAACTTATAATTAGATCTTTTGAAATCATTTCCTGGTTGAGTCATTTTCGTATAGAATATTGTGAATTTTGTATGAATATTTGTTTATTTGGCTGTTATTAGATTATACATGATATTATCAATTGATATTGAGTAAAAGTCATTTGAATCCATCAATACACAGTTTGAGTTCTGAAAAGATTTAAATAATATGTATAATAATAGATAGACTGTAAATTTTTTTTTTCAAATATAGAAAATTACCCTTAAAACAGTCTCATGTTACTATCACTTTAAGAAGCTTTCGGTGCTTTGTACCATATTCATCTATATCCACCCACCTAGTTGTCGTTTTTCTTCCTCTTTTCAATTATAGATTGTTATACTGTTTTAAAAATATATTGTTAAAGAGGAGAGAGGACCTTTTACATCTATTCTGGGTCAGATTCGGTTGAAAAAGGTCTTCTTTGTTGAACTTAATTAGGAAAATACAGAAGCACTTCTTCAAACAAAGAACACTTTTTATTCAGAAATTCTGTATGTCCGTGTTCTTGGTTCATCCTCTTGTTTGGTCTTACTACCTTCTTCATCCATCTAGGTTCCTGCTCTTCTTCCTCAGTGCTAGAGCTCTCTTCAAAATAGCTCACAGAGATCGAAGTTGAGATCGCATTATCTTGAGGGTGTCTTATTCTATAGTGCTTCAATTTCAATGGTTCATCTTTGTTGGCTGGACTCCTCCTATAGATCCAGAGACACTTCTTGGCTACATGGCCTTTGTAGGGACAACTTTCCCCTTCTTCTTTTCTTGCACTTTTATCTACCACCTCTCTGACACATTCAATACAGGATTTATCTGCATTGAATTTTTCCGTTGTTGAAAGATTTCTGATTAGTTAAACCTTCAACACTATATCAAAAATTGTTAACTGCTGAACTGCTTCTGCGTGTACTGCTGTCTCCATCAGCTGTGTATTGTTTCATCATGTTCTCAGCAAAGAAATAATCTGACTGACCTGTCCTTCTGACTTCCATGAAAAGTCGGTACAGGTCTTCCTCTGGCATCCAACGCCCTCCTCTTTAGCCTTCTTGTGACTTCTCCCCATGGCATCAGTTCATCTGCCTGTATTTCATTTAGAACTGACCTTCTAACTCTTCCTACTAGGGAGGCACACAGCTCTGTAGCGTCTAGTGGGTCTATTAATCCTGCTGCAATCCTGGCTTTGATTAAGTAGTGTATTTGGTCACCTTGTTTGAGAAAGTGATTGAGATACCCTAATTCCCCACCAAATTGTTCTAATTCTGTCACACTATTCTTTAAATAAGCGGCGGTAGCAGTCTTAACTCTTACCCATTCCAACTGTTCCAACACAGAATTACAGGTATTAATTACTCGTACTACATCTGCAGGGTTGGGGTTATCGTTAGCGCCGTCCTGCGCCATTGCTTGGTCCTGAAGTTGCATAGATTGTTCCTGAGGTTGCATAGGTTGTTCCTAAGGTTCAACCTTGATGGATCAATAATCAAGGTTTAGGCACTGGTTAAGTTTGTGCTAGTTCAAAAGTATTCAGATATAGTTTTAATAACAAGTAACTTTAATTATTACAAATTAGAGATTTTAAAAAACGTTCAAAACAGATAACAGGTAACATATGTTTATTTCATTTTAAAATACGTGAAAATGATATCAAGCCTTATCTTATTCATTCACAAGCTTTACTATAGCTCCCTACTTAACATATATATATATATATATATATATATATATATATATATATATATATATATATATATATATAATTTATATATACACAGTGCGTGGGTATGTGTAGATACTATACTTTGAATTTAGTATGTTTTAAAATAATTCAGTATAGTTTTATGTTGTGTTCAGAATTAATAACTAAATATTTATTGTTACTTTTAGAATCATGTTCTGGTCTGAAAGTAAATGGTTAATAAATCAAACACCCAATAGTACACTTCAGCTGGCATCAATGAGTGCAGATAATCCTTGGGCAGTGCTAAGTTTTGATTTTAGTCCAGTTACTGATATTGTAGTTGATCATTTTCACAAAGTTGTTTATTGGTCAAACTTAGCAGAAAATAAAATTGAAAGATGTAGTTATGATGGAAAAGACAGATCTGTATTATTGCGTAGTGAGGTAAAGACATTGAATTAAATAAATATGTATACTAAAATATTGTTGCTATCACAAAAATCTGATGCGGTGCACATTACACAATTTTCAATTATTACATTACTTTGAGTAGAAATAAGAAAACTTTGAGTATCTTCACATATAGGTAAATAAAAGTAAAAATTATAGGCGGTATAACATTCATTTGAAGCCATTAATTATTAAATGTTTTTCCTGTCTATCTAGTCTATTAAATTTACATGTTATTCATCATTACCCATTTCCTTTTAAGACTGTATATTTCAAATAATTAAATATTGCTTGATAAGGATACTCTGGCAAAAAAACTATGAGAACCATTGGTACATAATATAGCACAGACTAACAAACAGGTTTAAAGTTGTGGATATTTTTATTTTATATAAACGTCAAAATTGGATAAACTGGAAATGAGATACAGAACTAACTTCAAGTAATTTTATGGTCCTAGAAATTCTTAACTCCCTTGGAACTGAAAAACATTTTCTTTTTTGTTTTTGATGAACGGGCAACATAAAGGTTTTTCAGTATGCTGAATCAAAATATATCATCCTTTATTTTATTTATTTATTTATTTTACAATGCTAATTTTCCTAATAATTTAAGTTTTTTTTTTTAATTTATCTGGCCAAGAAATTATTTTTCAACATTTTTGTATTTTCTTTAATCTATAACCCAGCTAAAAATTTTTATATATCAATTTACTATTATTTCTCGAGGAAGGTTCAATAAAAATATTAATAACTATATTAATAAAATGGTTTAGTCAAATATTTTTATTTTTACAAAATGTTAACTAATCAATTGATGATTTATGCTGTCTCTTTTAATAGTTGAATTTTCTTGCTTTCCCTCTTTTATTTGTCTAATTTTATTATTGAGTGGGGCTATAAGTTCATTCGGTTTTTGAAGGGTGAAATAAAACAAGTTTTTTTTCATACAAAGAATAGATTTTATTCAATGTATTCGCCATTTTTATTAATGACCTCTTTCCAACTTTCTAACAATGCCATTATTCTGCTCTCGTAAAGCATCTGGGGCTTAGAAGTGAAAGATTTCCCATTGAGAGAGTTTTGGAGGGACTGGAATAAGTGATAGTTAGATGGTCCAGAGAAGAAAAAAAAAAAAAAACCTGTACCACTACAACCCATGAAGGGTCTGGGGTTCAGTACTATTTAGGGAAAGCACTGTTTCTAGGTCAACGGTTGTGCAAGGAGGTGATTTGACCGAGATCACGCTCAACCCCCAGTTTTTCCCCAATTAAGGGTACCCACTTTATAGAGGCTGGGTGAGCCCCAGGATGGTCTCCCGACCCAGGGTCGCCCCACGGCCAATGAAACAGATAAATAAATTTTCTGCCATGAGCCGGGATGATTATTGTGGATTGTGGTCCGGTATTGTCATGGTAGAATACAATACCTTTGCGTTTGACTAGTTCTGGGCATTTCTGTCTCAATGCTGGATCCAATTTCGTTAACTGCATGCAGTAGATTTTTTAATCAATCGTTTTTCCTTGTGAAAGCAGCTTGTAAAACAGCATGCTGCAATAATTCCACCATGTAGAGAGCAAAATCTTTTTCAGATATATACCGGCCTTCAGAGTGGCATTAGGCAGCTCTTTAGCAGCTGCCCATGATCTCCTGTGCACTACTTTGTCGTAGATGATCAACTTTTTGTCATACATCACTATTCATTTGAGAAATGGGTCCCTTTCATGCTGGTCGAGAAGAAAGTTGCAGAGATTGATATTCGGTGGGCCAGGTTTACCTCTGTCAGTTTGTGTGGTACCCAAACATTGAAGTGAGGTTCTTGGCCTAGCTGTTTTAAATGCCTTTGAATGGTTTCAAAATCTATTTTGTAGTTTTGTACTATCTATTGTACCGATCGGTCTTGTTCAATTAGAGCCTTGATATTACACCAATCAACCTCGTTGGGCCCACCACTGTGGGGTGCATCTTCGAGTCTTGTATCTCCAGAACAAAACTTGGTAAACCATTTTTTAGGCATCAGTAGGTTCTGTTAAGGCATCGTCCCTGTGTATCTTACATATCTTTCGGTGGGCCTCCGAAGCTCCCTAGCCTTTTTTGAAGTAAAATATGCCGAAAATGCACTTTATTATTTGACATATTCACTATGCTGTGTAGCACAAACAAAACTAATTTCAATGAAACCAAACACAACATATTCAAAGAGCGGATTTTGAACATTCTGATAAGTATCTTTATTTTCAGATAAGGCAAAGAGAACTGGAAACATTTGAAACACTTCACTCTTCTAACCAAAACCGCACAAACTTATGGATCCACTAAAAATTTATTAGATTTTGCGTTTAACTCAGCTTCTTTCTTTCTATCTTGTTTATCTCTAGATTTTAATCTAGTGTTGATTTCTAACCCGTATTTCTCCTTTAGTTAATTGTCAAATTCTTCCATAGGTTATACTAATAAAGAAATGGTTAATTATTTAAAATAAACAAAATCAAAGGTTCTTTAAAGGAAAATTAAATTTGGCATTTAAGTCCTTTCCGACTATTTCAATTAGAATAATACCTGACTAATATTAAAAGTTACTTGATTTTACATTTATGTAACTAGATTAATCAAAATTATTAAAGCCATTTTATAAAAAATTGTAAAAATGTGAAAATTTTATGGTGTAAAATGCCACTTCCCGAAAGTCAATTAAAAAAAAAAATGCTGTGTCCCAGGCTAATACTTACTTTAAATACATAATTTCAGTTTCCCATAATTATTAATTTTTCAATTAGGTTGTTTACATACACACAGCAATTATTTTGTGAAACTTGGTTATTTGAGGTCAATAAAACATGTATTTCCATTTAAAATTCAGATTTGAAATTCTATATAATTGTAGTACTTTTCCTTAATACATATTTGATATTTGGGCGAGTGAAAGTAAAAATTTATTTTGATTCTTGAAACAAAAATGTCATTTAGAAATACACAAGCACATTATTTATTATCGTCTTCCACGAAATCACACTGCTTCATCATAATAGATCTTTTTAATGATAATATTTTTCTTTAGAAAAAAAATTGTCTTTAGTTAAAAATCTTTACAAATTGAGGGGAGTCTCAAGTTTCTGCCCAGTAAACCTCAAGTTAATTGATATGGGCTTAAAACTTATTAAACTAGAAAGTTTTTGTAAAATTGAGGTCTTTGTAGTATAGTTGTGTGATGATAAATCGCAATAATTTATGATTTTTTAAAAAACAGAACTTAGCTTAGTTTAGACGCTCTAAAAGTACTATTTAAATGGTTTTAACAATGACAAACTTTATTTTCATTTGATGTTTTGTCTAGTTTTGTAGTGAAGCAATTGTTTATTATTTAAATTAAATATATCTTTTGTTATTCAAGAAAAAATACGACTTTCCTAAAAATACAAAACTTAGATTTCCTGCTGAAAATTTGTCCATTGTTTAAATGAACTTTTTTGTAAATCTTATGGTCTGAGTTCACTCATATAAAAATTTCCCTCTGCTTACGCTGAAAAACTTTCTCATTTAATGAGCTTTAATCCATATTAAGTTGAGGTTTATTAGGACAAAATTTTAGATTCGCCTCAAGTTATATACAAAATAAATGTGATTTTATATCCTGTACCTAAAAGTACCTGTTTTAAAAAAAAAAAAACACAATAAATTATTGCAAAGCTTTAATTTCTTTTAGTTTTGCGATGACTTGGGATGTAAAATAATAAATATAAATACATTCATTATTTCTAAAAAAAATTGTTAAAAATAATGATTTTTCGATTATTTATAAGTGACAAACTAAATGTTCCTGATCTGAATATTTACGTTTTCATGAAAATAATTGAAACAATGATAGGTTTCTTTATTTTAAACTTACATTTTAGGACTACAAAATTTATTTTGTAACTTATAAGTATGGTTTAATCCATGTAATAGAGATCTTAGTAAAAAAAATTTTGATCATCACTTTTTATGATGATTACTCGACAAATCATTATTTTTAACATTTTTTTAGCAAACAAAAAATGTATTTATGCATTTATACTTATTATTATACATCCCAAGTCATCGAAAAAAGTAAGAAATCAAAGCTTGACAATAATTTGTTGTATTCATTTTTGCTGAAAACAGGTACTTTTAGGTGACAGGATATAAAATCAAATCTATTTTGTTCACGACTTGAGGCGAATCTTAAGTTTTTTCCTAATAAACCTCAACTTAATATGGATTTAAATCTCATTAAATGAGAAAGTTTTCCTAAAATTGGGATATCTGTAGTATAGTTGCATGATGATAAAAAAAAAAAAAAAAAAATCGCAGATAATTTATAACTTTTTAAAAACAGAACTTCGCTTAGTTTAGCTTCTCAAAAGTCCTTTTTAGAAATTATAAATATAAAGTGTATTTAGGCAATTATATTTATTATAATTTATTCCAGAACAAGGAAAAACAAGAAATAAAAGCTTTTAATACAGTGTGCCCCATAAGTAGAGGGAAATTTTTATAGGAGTGACTACAGACCGTAAGAGCTACAAAAATGTTCATATAAACAATGGGCCAATTATCAGCAATGTTTTAGGAAAGTCGTGTTTTTTCTTGAATAGCAAGCAATAACAATAGATATATTTAATTTAAGTTATTAACAATTGCTTCACTATAAACTAGACAAAATTTGCTTCAGATTAAAATAGAGTTTGTCATTGTTAAAACCATTAAAATAGTACTTCAGAGTGGCTAAATTAAGCTAAGTTCTGTTTTTTAAAAAATCATAAATTATCCACAATTTTTTTTTTTTTTTATCATTGTGCAACTACACTACAGATAATCCACTTTTACAAAAACTTCCTAGTTTAATAAGTTTTAAGCCTATATCAATTAAGTTGAGGTTTACTTGGCAGAAGCTTGAGATTCACCTCAATTTGTGTTAAAAAAATGATGTGATTTTTTATTCTGTCACCTAAAAGTACTTGCATTTTCAGGAAAAAT